ACGGTCTTCCAAAAGTCCAGAGGCTTGGTCATCATATCACTTGCCCACTTCTTTCATCTGACTAGCTGCTCTGCAATGATAACCCAATCTGTGGAGAATCCATTGAACAGATTTCAGGCTCATCCCACCAACTTTGGACACTTCTGCAGTCGTTAATCTGGGATCCATTTCAATGCTCCTCTTGACAGCCCTTTTTGTCCTCTGATGGACCAGGATGACCCGGATGCTGCTCAGTTGTTTCCTGAACTGCACGATGATTCTGTTGACTGTCGAAAGCGGGATTCCCAAATTCTGCGAAATTTGCCGCTGACTTATTCCACCATCTGCTTGACCACCTATCCTTCCTCTAACAAAATCTGACAATTCGAGAGAACCTTGAGTTCTAGGCATGTTGTAGCACAAAATAATTAGTGTGCAGACTATTTTCATTTATATAGTGCTCTCTGAACACAAATTAGTTAGCATAAATCAGTTAAATGACGAAAAATTAGGTGTCTATTTACTTGTGATCACTCAGTGTATAAAAGGTTCTAAAAAGTGGTATAATCACCTTGTTACCAATACATAGAATAAAGAACATGTTTTTTAAGTGACCTTTACTTGAGTGAATCAAGTCTTTTATTTTGACCATAAAAAATGTGTCAAATATTGAATTAATCTGTTATTTCCTGTGACATTTCTTTATCTTTTTTAATGACACACACACAAACAGAATTTCAAACACTAAATATTTATGTTTTAACAAAATAATAAACAAGAATCCCATATTTAAAAACTTACTTTAAAAGATAAGTTTCTGATAATCAGTCTTCCCTTTTTGGATTTGATTTTTTCATTCAACTGCTGTCTGATTTCTTTTGTAATATACTGTTCTGGAAAAAAATATTCATAACTTCTTGATATAAAATATTATAATCAAAATCAATGTTAAATAAGAGTGTAAATTATAGCTGTAAATGTGGCACAAGTCTGTCAAAATCTATCAACATTTTTATGCAGTAGACATGCTACATATGTATATGGACAAATAATTTTTACTTTTTCTCTGAATAAAATTAAGAAATAAGATTAATAAAAACCATCCATATTTTGAAACAATTCATGATCCAACATAGTTTTGTACAAATCTTACACAGTCATTTAAAATAAATCATTAACTAAAGTTTTTATTAATTATAACATCTACTTAACAAAACAAATTTAATATAATCAAATACCTATAAAACGAATTGTAAGTAATGTAAAAAAATAGGTGCAAATGTCTACCAAATTTTACCACACATAAAAATTATTGTGTCTCAATGCAAAAAATTACTACATTCTTATACTGTCAATATAATAGTTTAAGCACATCTACAACAGACAATAGGTGGTCACTTAACAAGAGCTATTTTCATTATTAGTATCACCATGTTGAATTACAGTAGATACCCTCACAATTCAAAAGTCCTGAGAGGGTTTTCATATCCAACTCAAATGGACTATTTAGAAAATTGTGTAATAAATTAACTTAACTTTGATACAAAAAGACTGATTTAAAAATTTTATAACATAATTACTTATATTTGTTTTACAGATTTGGTAGAAGAAAATCTTGACAAATGTTTAATCCACCCATGAAAAAAATATAATGTTAAGGAGTAGACAGATACAAAATCTACAAAAACGATTTCATGTATATCAAAGCAAACCACCAAGTAAAAAAATAGTAAGATCCCCTGAAAGAAAAACTATAAAAAAAGTCAATTTGTGATGATGATATAAAAGTATAATGCAGTGAGAGTACAACATTTCCACTTGCTCTAGACAAGTTTAAAGGTGATAAAAATTGAACAAGAAAAATCCATACTTCATGGTTCTACTGAAACTTGCTTCTAAGAAAAGAAAAAACTTTTAAATTCGGGTTTATAGATGCTGACATAACAGAATATTTTTTATATTTGGATTGTCAATGATACTTCATGTGAAAAATTGTGTTTCAGTAAGACTCTGAAGAAGGTACATGAAACTGACGTTGTAAATAAGAGAAATGGTCAAGGTAGAAAAGTAAGATGCTTCAAATATTATGAGTATCTCAATATATGTATTTTCCAATATAGATGACAAATGAAAACAGATCTAGCCAATGACCTTGCTGCAAATACAGGTGTGAATGTTAACTTGAGAACAATAACAAAGAAATTAGCAGGATGTAGTCTCAATGTAATGTAGTTACTCGAAAAAAACCCTGTTGAGAAAAAGTAACCAAAGCAAATGTATTGAAATGGATATCAGAAAACAAATATTAGAATAAAGAAAGCTAGAGATATGTGCTCTTTACACATTAATCCAACTTAAAATTATGTAGTAGCAATCAATGACTCTTTCGTTCGATGGCAGAGAGGACAATGGTATCTTAGTAAATGTATACAATGAAGCACAGTGGAGGGTCCATGCAACTTTGGGGCTGCATCTTAGTCATCAGTGCGAGTGATCTACACAAAACTGATGGCACACTGATTGCTGACATATAAAAGCAGATTCTGCTCCATCATGTCATTTCTTCAGGAACATGACTCATCAGGTGGGGATTTATCTTCCAGCAAGAAAATGATCCCAAGAATATAGCAAATGTGGTGAAATGCTATCTTGATGGTAAAGAGATTAATGGAACATTCACAACCTTGGTTTAGTCTGCACAAACTCCTATATGGACATTCTTGAAACTGTATGAGCTTACATAAAACAGAGAAGGTCAAATGGTGAACAAACAACTTGGCTAAATTGTGAGGATTAATACAGGACACTTGGAACACTATTCTACAATCATACATAGGTATACTGTATGACAGCATAAAAACAAGGTGTAATGTACTGATTAAAGCAATGAGCAAACATGAAAAATGAGAGAGCATTGTACAACTCACTTTTGTATTTTTTGTAATAATATTTTGTACCATTAATAAATTCACTGTCTTACCATTACTACTGAAAGTGTGTTGCTTTTGTTTTCATAATTATTTCCATTACAATATATTTTTCAAGAACAAAAATATTAATCTTTACTCTTTCTTGTTAAAAACAAAAATTACTACATAAATGTATCCCTCCTGCTCATTACATGAATTTATTCCAAACTGTTAAAAAACACAAGGTCTTACTAAACTAACTATTTTTAGTGCTTATATTATTAATGCTAAAGTAGAAAAGTACTTCAAAATTATAACCCTTCAGTAATAAACACTACGAACAATTTCAAACTCCAGCGAGCACGCCCCCAGCATCACGCGACCTCCACTGTCGTAACAATAGATACTTCTTGCATTATAAATTGCATTCATTGAATTTTGTAGTCTAGCATTCTAATACTCATGTACATAACAGTCATATAAATATACAGAGTGGGGCAAAATTATTGAATTTTGTAGTCTAGCATTCTAATACTCATGTACATAACAGTCATATAAATATACAGAGTGGGGCAAAATTATTGAATTTTGTAGTCTAGCATTCTAATACTCATGTACATAACAGTCATAAATATACAGGGTGGGGTAAAATTATTGAATTTTGTAGTCTAGCATTCTAATACTCATGTACATACCAGTCATATAAATATACAGAGTGGGGTAAAAGTTGCTATATACTTGGTATTAAAGAAAATAATGCAAAAACAACTGAAATCTATTTAATTGTTGTTTGTTTCAGAGTAATAGTTATGTGGTTCCCACACTTTGAGCAGAATGAAATTCCTTGACTTTTCCCAAATCTTTTCCTGATCATTTGATATATGCCTGTAATGTATCATTATCCATAAGAAAATGTGACATACATTTTTCATGTACTGTTGATAAAAACAAAATAAGCTGTATGTTAACCCTTTCAAGATGGGTCACAGGTGAAAGGCCATGTCATCTCGTTTGTTGACACGCATTCAAAATTTTATAGAACTACTATTTCATGAATTTATGTTAATAAGTTTG